GAGCCAAAATGTTGGGTGGGTATTTGGTGGGGGGGGGGGGGGGGGGTGTTTCCAATGTTTGCAAATATGCTGAGAAGATTTAACCCCATCCAAAGACAGCAAGTCAAGTTTATATCAGACATTCTTCTGAGACTACCAACAGAGCGTGAGGCAAATCTTTAAAGCCAGAAGAAAAAAAGGATTCCAAAGAATACCCGAGTATGCATCACATCTTTGCAGTACATACATGTTTACTGAGGCTCTATCCTAATGCCGCAAGTACAGAAAAATATGTATTAATCTTGCCAGAAATCCAGCAAGCTTCTAATTTCCTGTCGTGAGCTGACAATGCTGCCTCTGCTAAACTGAAATCCCAAGCAGTGTTGTCAGGCTTGCCCAGTTCTACCCTGCTTGTCAGCAGATACATGTGCTGAAATCAGTACCACCCTTTCGCCTCACCTGAAAAGGGACTGATGTAGGGCACTCTCCTGATCCCCCCCCCCCCCTGCAACAAAATTACACGGCTGGTGTGGACATAAGTCATAAAATTGGTTTCTTGCTATAGAAACAAGGTAAAAGAAAAAAAAGAATGCTCTAGCATATGCTCTAAGGGCCCAGCGACAATGCCCATTTCATCGCGCTCCAAAAAACGAATTTTTTGAGTGGGACTTCATCGCTGCTACATTCGGCTGTAACCAATCAACAGCCATCTGGATGTGACATCATTCTTTCCTTCCATTTTGCAGTGCAAACGTGACCCTTATGTTGCGCAATATCACGCGACTTTGCCGGTAATGCACGATTTTGCGAGACACCATAGAGTCTATTGGAGCCAAAAAAGGGTCATGTCCGAGCGACGAGCTACAGGCAACATTGAGCTGTGAGATGTGAACACCTCCATTGAAATGCATTGGACAAGCTACATAGAGCGTGATAAACCGCTCAGTGTGAATGGGGTGTTAAAGGGAAGAGCGAGGTTTAGGGATACATTTGCCTGGAGATCAGCTTTGAAGGAGAACCTTTGGGAGAGTAAAATGTACTCTACCCAATAGTTTGAGCCGGCATGTAACACTGCAGCTGTCACATGCCAGCTCTATAACTCAAGAACTGAGTGATCACAAACTGCTGATTTCTCAGCTCACAGCTTCTCCCTGTAGAGAACAGTGACTGTCATTTACTAATGTACTCCTGTGACCCAAAATAGAACTAAAGGGAAAAAAAAACAAACTTTGGCTATAGTTCTCTTTTAATGTTTTATATTATGAAAAATGCAACGCTCGATAATATCAAGAAATATAACTTTTTTAAGCAATCACTCAGTCTAAATAGAAGGGGAAATGTTATGAACTGTTAAGTTTGGAAAATGAAGTACTGGCATCTGACATTCTAGCTGGGTTGGGGGTGCTCTAGGATTACATCCCACTGGCAGTTACACATTACTGATCTCTCTGCGGCTATTCAGGATCACCCACAGCAGCACTGCCATGCCTCAAAAACAGCTGCAGCAGAGAGTCGAGGAAAGCTATCCCAGCTTTGAGTCTAATGTGCCATATGACACAGTTGAGGGGAATCGTGGGAGGAGATCCCTCACTTTGTCAAACATTGCTGTATCTGAGGTCTGGTGAGTATTTAAATGGAGGGAGAAACCTCTGCTGGAAGGGGTTTGTTGGGAAACTGGGAAGGGAGGGCATATTTGTTGGTGAAGGGTTTTGCTGGAGAGGGGAGAGTTTTCCTGATGGGGCACTCAGTTTTATGAATACACAGATGCTGGGTATTCATATATATAAATGCTGGGTATTCAAAAATATAAATGCATTTAAGGGCTCTTGCACACAGGTGCCTGATCCTGAATACTGCAAATGCCAGTGTATTCCCCAAGTCAAGGAGCTCCAGGTGCAGCATACAGCCAAGTCAATAAATGTACACTGTTGTCAGAGAGTAGATGCCTAAACCCACGTATGTGCATGGATGTAAAACCTCAGGTGCAGACTGTGTATCTGAGGATTGTACGTCCGTGCGCATGTGTGGGTTTATGTAGTGCCGGAGTATACCCACAGACAACAACTTAAAGCCATTGACTATTATGTAAAGCTGTAAAAAGCACCTAGAGCTCCTTGGCAGGGGGAATAT